TTACATTTAATAATTTAGCAGATGCTTTTATCCAAAGCGACTTACCAATGAGGAGAACAAAAGAAGCAATCAAATCAACAAGAGGGCAACAGTATGCAAGTGCCATGACAAGTCTCAGTTAGTCTAGCATAGTACACAAAGTTTTTTTTTCTTTTAATACATAAATTACAAAGAATAGAGTAGAAGAGGATAGAATAGATAAGTGCTAGTATTAATTGGGCAGGTGCTGATGGAAAATATGTGTCTTTAGATGTTTTTTGAAAACAGCTGCTTGGATTGAGACAGGCAGATCATTCCACCAGCTGGGAACAGTCCAGGAAAAAGTCTGTGTGAGTGAATTTGTGCCTCTTTGAGATGGCACCACAAGGCGCCGTTCACTTGCAGAACGCAAGCTTCTGGAGGGCGCGTAAGTCTGAACTAGCGAGTTTAGGTATATCGGTGCAGAGCCAGTGGTCGTCTTGTAGGCAAACATCAGTACCTTGAATTTGATGTGAGCAGCTATTGGCAGCTAGTGCAAACTGTTGAAGAGAGGTGTGATGTGCGCCCTTTTCTTAAGCTTATTGAAGACCACTCTCTGCTGCATTCTGGATCAGTTGCAGATGCTTGACAGTACATGCTGGAAGGCCCGCCAAGAGAGCATTAAAATAGTCAAGTCTGGAGAGAGCAAGAGCTTGGAAAAGGAGTTGTGAGGCCTGCTCTAATAGGAAGGGTCTAATCTTCCTAATGTTGTATAAGGCAAATCTGCAGGACCGAGTCATTGTAGTAATATGGTCTGTGAAGTTTAACTGATCATTAATCAAAACTCTAAGGTTCCTGGCTGTCCTGGAAGGAGTTATGGTTGATGAACCAGGCTGAATGGAGAAGTTGCAATGAAATGCTGGGTTGGCTGACACCACCAGCAGTTCTTTCTTAGCAAGGTTGAGTTGATGGTGATGGTCCTTCTTCCAGCCAGAAATGTTTGTCAGATAGGCTGTGATGCGAGCAGCTACTATCCGCCTATCACGAGCGTTGGGTCCCCGGAAGGCGGCCTGTCGCTCGAACCAACCTAATCCCTTGCCACGCGGGCCGAGGCCTGGCAGGCCATCCCCGGGGTGTCAAAATGGGTTCTGGGGATAATAAAACGAGGCTACTCACTTCAATTCGCTCGAAGACCCCTGCGATTCAGCGGCGTGTTCTCCACATCGGTTCAGGACGCACATGTCCTTCCTACTTCCTCATCCCCAAAAAGTATGGCGGCCTAAGGCCCATCCTCGATCTCAGGCACCTGAACCGTGCCCTCATGAAACGGCCGTTCAGGATTATTACATTGAAGCAGATCCTCTCGCAAGTGTGCCCAGGGGACTGGTTCTTTTCGCTGGATCTGAAAGACGCCTACTTCCACATCCAGATAGCCCCCCCACCACAGGCGATTCTTGAGATTTGCCTTCGAGGGAGTGGCATATCAATACACAGTCCTTCCCTTTGGATTGTCCCTAGCTCCTCGCACTTTTACGAAGTGCATGGATGCGGCTCTTTCCCCACTGAGACAGATGGGAATCCGCATT